TTTGCTCATCTGTATCTGCTTTATTGATCATCTGTATTCTAATAAAAAATTTTGGGAGATTATTGGCGGCTGCTGATGACGGTTTGTAAAAATCTTTTATAAATAACTTTTCTGTCCGATTGATTGATTAAGTTATGTTGATGAAGGTGATGTACTTGATGTGTTTGTTGTTTGGTCTGAAAGAAACATTTCCTTATTTCAGAAAATGATACAAACCAAGCCATATAAGTATTATTCTTGCCGCAACAAAATTTGCCCACTATTTCCTCACTGTATACATTAATCCGTTACCACGTCGTGTTTGTTTATGTAAATCAACAAGGCGATCTTTACAATTTGCAAAAAAGAACACACCAATCAAGCAAAACATCCCACAAATTATGGCCAAGTTAGTACTAAAAGCTCTAAGTTTACAGTCTATTCTTTATTTTAATATTTTAAAGCACAACGTAGTGTTTTTTGTGTAGTTAACACTTTCTGGATTACCGAAGCTGTGGATCCATCTCTCCATGACCAGATGCTGAAACTATTTTGATTGCTTCTCAAATATCATTCCTCTCGAAAGGTAACTCAGAAACCCTTTGCTTTGATTCTAATTATATCATTAGTTCCACGGATCAATGTTGTACGAATAGAGAAGTTCGGGCCCTGTGTTTTGGAGATAAATTTTACTCTTGTGCACATATCTCACAGTGACATGGTTTGCACGATGAGATTTTTAAGTTTATCCATTACTTTAACATAGATTGGAGTAAGCCTTGGCATGCTGATGATGTACTGAATTACTTCTTTGAGTTTTTTTTTTTTTTTGCTGGTAATTTAAGCTTCAAAAGTATGTGGAGGATTGTGGAGTTTTATTGTTGTTTCGAGGAACTGGATTTGCTATATATGTAAGGTCTGAATTACTTCTTTTAGTTTTTCTTTTGTTAGTAATTTAAGTTTCAAAAGTATATGGAGGATTGTGGAGTTTTATTGTTGTTTTGAGGAACTGGATTTGCTATATATGTAAGGCTAGGTGAGTGTAAGATGGGATTTCAGAGTTCCAAATTCTTAGAAACTCTTTTAAATAGTTTGAAGTTTTTAAGCTGAACGATTTAGCCACGTAAACTATGCAAAGGTACACTGATCCCATATGATCTCTAATCGTTATGTATTTACCCTAAACGATATGTTTTTAGGCTCAAATCATTCATTATGTGATGCTCTTCTATTTTGTAGGGAATTGCTACTTTTGGTGCGGTATTGCTGGTTATAGCTATAACAATGATGGATCCGAATAGACACCATGAACACACTATGATGATAGAAGAAAATGAAGCACTGCGAGTGCATATTGATCCATGCAGAGATAGGTTCCCTTGCTCCATCGTTTGGACACAGCTCCTTATCCTATTTATCCCTTTCATTGGGCACATAGGTATTTGCCGAGAGGATGGTGTAATCTTGGATTTTGCAGGGCCACTTATGTGCGTGTGTGGATAATTTTATATTCGGGGCACCTACATGCTATTTTCACATCAGCAAAGAACATGTAAACCACAGTGATGCATTGTGTCATGAATATCTGCTCACCAAGTCTCTCTATGGTCGAAAATAGGCTTCCAGACGGTGGAAGCATGAATTCACCAAGCAACTAGGGACTCTGGGTTTTGTTCAATCAGCACATGATCATTGTCTTTTCTACAAAGCTGCAGGATCTCAGTTTATTATACTCCTGGTTTATGTGTTTGATGTTCTCATCACAATAACTTCTGAATCATTAATCCAGGAAACTAAGTCCTTTCTTCAAGCACCCTTTATTATTGAAGACTTGGGGTGAAATAGCAAGAGATGCTTCATGAATCACCCTCAATCAGAGAAATCAGAGAAAGTATGCTCTTGACATCATCAACACCCTCAATCAGAGGAAGTATGCTCTTGACATCATCAACAGCACTAGATTGCTAGGCAACAACACTGTCATTACTCCTTTTCCTAAAGGTCTCGATCTCCAAGACTCCTCCGGTCCATTGTATAGTGATCCAACACAGTACAGAAGATTAATAGGTAGGTTACTATACCTTGGCTTTTGATGGGTGTCGAGATCACTAAATAAATCTACTTAAAACTTGTAGCAAGTGATAAGAAGATCAGATCCCTCAAAGACGGAACACTTAATGAAAACTAGCATCTAGTACCACAGTGTAATGTGTGAACAGCAATAGGAAATCGGTAAGTGAGTTTGTGACTTGACAAAATGATGGTAGCCTAGGGTTGTCCTCTTCTTTACTCTATATGCATATGTGCATATGTAATGACTCTTTTAGTTTTAAACTATATTCAATTAGGCACATAAACATTATAAGGTCACTCTCGTTATTCCAAATAGCAGTCCTAGTAGTAATAAACTAACTCTCATTGTTAATTCCAGAATACTATTAAGCCCTTAAAATTTTCAGCCCTTATGATTGTCTCGTGTCAGACAATTGACTCTCGTTGTTGTTTGAAACTTTGAGCTGTTACCCGCTCATCACCAGTTAGTCTTAGACATTTTAAGTTATGTTTACTCTCTAAGAATTTCTCAAACATGCAAGCACGATTAGTTTGAATGGCCAATTTAATCTAAAATGATAATTTAAACTCTAATACTAACTATACAAATATCATTCGAAAGTTTGAATCAAAACATGATTATATAGAATAGAGGGATTAGACCCTAGACATGAGTATAGCTACTCATGGAGTGAAGCTCAAACACTATAAAGTTCAAGTGTTGAGACTTCTTCATCGTTACAACAGATAAATAGAAAATATGGGAAGAGCAAAGTCAGAGAGTGTAGTAAAATGCAGCTGACTTTGCAGAGTCATCTTCTCACTTCCCTAAGAGACACCCTTGAGTCTACCTTCCAGAGTTATATTATGTTTCTAAGCTACTGTACTAAACTCTACTATCTAATCGACTTCTTGTGTTGTATTCTGGTCTGATGCCTTCGTCTTCTGCTGCTGCTACATTATATAGAGGTTGGGGGGGGGGGGGTTAATCTTTACTTAGCCAAGTTGGTCTCCTCTTTACCCGATGGGTTTAAGCAAAAGAGAGAAGACCCATACTTCTTCAACTTTCCCCCGTATTTCTAGTCATCTTTGTGAAGGGGTTTGGTTGTTCTAATCAGGTTTAAGACACATCAATCTTTCATTATGTCAGCAGTATCACTTCAGCAAATTTCCTTCTTCCTTAGCTTCGAAGACTTCTTCTAATTTTGGCCTTACTTCTCTTCTTCTTCTCACCGGATTTCAGCCTTCATCTGCCCTTGCACATCAGTCCCTACAACATCTTCTAATTTGGCCCGAAACTTCACTATTTGCCACATTCTGACCATTTTTTGCTTCTTTTATAATTCGGCCCCTGAATTATCACAAATAACTAAATTAGCCTATAAATATAAAATCCTAATCTAATTGACCACAAATTAAAGCATAAAGAACAAAATATGTGTCTAAAAATATAGTATGATTTGCACTCATCAACTCCCCCAAACTTGAAGAGTTGCTTGTTCCCAAGCAACACAACATTACCCCCCTACACTGACTATAAATAAGAGAATGGAGCAAAGGAAATAGTCAAAAGATTGTCTCAGAAACAGGTCTCACCAGAGAAAGAGTTATACACTAAAGTTCAAAACCACTTGAGTAAGACAAAAACTCACTTCCCTAAGTGCATGTATAACAGACACAGAACCAAGTGTTATTTTTTTCTTTTCAAGTTAAGTTTGGTTCAGCACAGTGGACATTCCAGGATCTGTACCTATTTTCATCAGGTCTGCAACTAGGATTTTCTAACTGGATTTCAATCTAAGGGCTTTCCTCACTTAACTGCTAGCTCATTTGCTGCATCTTTTCACCATCATACCCTTTCCTTCTGTCCATGTTGGCTTTTCTTCTGGATCTTTCCTACTCAGGCCTTTACCAAGTACATTTTTTCAGTACTTTTATGGCATTCTAAGCATCTATATTTTTTATCTCACTAGGCCTGAGAACACTCTTCTCTTAGGTTGCCATGCCTCACTTCTCAGGGATTTATAATGCCTCATTGGGCACTCTGCTTATACTCCCTCAATTAGCTAAACAGATAACCTTAATTTTAATTCGTCAACTTTTTCCCTTTTTCCCAGGTATTTCAGGCTAATCCAAACCACTATGGGCTCGATTCGAGTCTGCCATAGTGCGTAGGGATGCCTTAATTTCTATCCAGGTTTACAGTCCTCCCAGGTTAACAGACAAGTGAGCTCCAGTACAGATCATAACAATGCAAGAAAAATTTTCAAATTTTAAGTATTTAAGTCCATAACAACACTTTGTCAAGTGAACTTCACATGAGGAAGTGGAAGCAAGTTTCAGTTATGATCTAGTAGTTTTTAAATAAGTGTTCAGCCAAATGTAAGCCTCAATTCTGTTTTCATCCTTGTCATTTGAATATCTACTAAGCATGCATTCTTAATTAACCGAGACACAGAAAGACTTAACTGAGTTGATCATAGAGAGGGAAACAAAACATAGCAAAACAAAAAAAAAATAGAGAAAACGGGGCAAAAACAAATACTCAAACAGGACACAAACCTAAAGACAGAAAATTCTCTTCACACCCTCCCCCAAACTTAAAATCCTACATTGTCCTCAATGCTAAGTAAAAAGAAAATAAAGGAAAGGAAGAGAATTGACACACACACAGATAAAAACAAAAGAGAACAAAAAAATAAGAAGGAAAAGAAAAGAAAAGAAAAGAACTAGTGATTCCCCTGAACTTCTGCGTATGATATTCCTGCAAGTGCTGGAAGTAGAGGTGGTGGTGTCAGGTGCCATGGCAGAGGTAGTTCCACTTTCTTATCTCTCATGCCAAAATGTACTCCTGCCCGATCCATCAACATGGTGATTAGGATGGGGAAGTATTAACACTTCTGCTTCTGCTTAGTCACACAAGCTTCAATCTACTCGTGAATAATTGTTGCAACGTCAATGATGATGTCCTTGACAATTGCATAGACTAGCAGAGCTCTATCAAAAGTGACAAATTGACGAGACTTGGTTGGTTTGATGTTTGTACACACAAGATTGAACCAGCCTCTGTACTAATCCTTGAAATAATTTGCAGGGAAGTGTTTTGGATCGCCATTTTTATCTAGGGTGCAATCAAAATCCTTATAGTTGTTGCAGAAAACCCTCTTGATAAAATCCCAGATGTCCACCTTCATTGGCAGACTGGCAACATCACGTTGCCAGTCGTTATCTACTTCAGACAATCCTAACACTGATCTAATTGCCTCTTCGCTGACCTCCACCATAAAACCACAAACAAAGATGTAGCGTCTTTCACCCTGTACTCTGGTAAAATTTGCATAGGACTCCTTGATCAGCAAGAGATGCGGGCGCACCATAGGGTTACAGAGCCCAACCCAGCCCTTGTCTTCAACATAAGTGGATGGATTGCCATTGTTGATAAGGCATCGCTCCACAATGGCAACCCTTTTCCTATTCTCCTTGTAAAAGTCCCAAGCGAAACTTGTCAGGAAGAAGTTCCAAACTTTGGGTTCTTGCAAGCGTCTCTGGATCTCTTCCTTGTCCTCCTCATTCTCATCTGAATTTGGGATTGGTAGTAATGGTAACACCGACTGAATCCAAGGGAAACCGATTCCCTGAATTTGCAGAGTTCGTCTCCTTGTAGTTTTTGTCACTCTGGGTGCCATGGATCTTGCACAAGAATGGAAAAACTGTTGACTTTCAAACATATGTGAGTGAGGTGCCACACCGGGATAAAACAGAGGATTTCTGAGGAAGAATACTGAGGAAGACGAAGTTCATGATTTGATGATGGAGAGAGGAGAGTAAATAAGGACTTAGGGATGTGGGGATGTTCAGTTTTTGAGTAATAGGGAAACAACTTCGTCTCTGCGATCTCGTCCGTAATCTTCGTTTCTGTGACCATCACCGAAATTGTTCCGCCGGACATTTCTCCGATCACGATTAACTTCTTCATTATCGCGATTTTCCATCGAAAAGAAAGAAAACTCAAAACTTCAAGAAACTGGTACGGTTTTGATCGAAATCTGATGAATTATACGGTGGCGATGAGTAATCAGGCAGGAGGGACCTTCTATGATATCATCAAGAAGAAAAGGATATGGAAATTAGGGTTAGAGTGGAAGCCATTAATGCGTATAATCTTGGTCTAAATATTTTGTATTAATGATTAAATGATAATAATAATTATGATGTACAATGATTAGCTTATATACTAATTACAACCGACCTAATATGTTGTAAATGTACAAGTATGCCCTGTAATATTTACATAACTACCACACTGCTTTAAGTATGTACAAACTAACCCTTCTATTTGGTAAAACTATATACACTATATACATGTCTACAAATCGTTTGGTCAATCATCTTTTTTCTCACTGGATGGTAAGTATATCTTCTTGATTTGGATTGCCACTTTGTTTAAATATACTTGGACGCTGGACAGGTTATATATGCATGGAGGAGGTGTTATTTCAATCAAGTGGATCGAGTGATCGTAATTTAGGGAAGTCACTGTAAAAAGGTTATGTTAAGACGTAATCATTTTGATTTGATCTGAAATTCAATTGCATGATTTATAAGATAATATTGGAATAAACTGCAACTTTTAAATATTTTGATCTGATCTTCATTTGAGTCACGTTGATTTTTGATAGTCTGTTTTGAGGATATTTGATTCGATTTTGAATCCCCTTGATCAGTGCTTAAATTATGGATGTAGTTGACTGGTAACTCATCTTCTGTACACATTATTTCTGATAAATATATAAAAAAAAGTGCTAATTTTGTGGAGGAGTTCTAGTCGAGTATATATAGTATGTATTTGCTGATTTTTCCTCTCGATCTTTTCCGGCATCCGAAGGCACAGCTGACGACACACTCTTCAAGGCGGCGAGGTCAGGCTTGTAGCATACTCCTTCACCTATTCGATTTTTGTTTAAATTTTTGCATTCTTACTGTCTTCGTGGAATTTTAGTGAACAAAAATTTCGGGTGGTAACATCAAGCGATGGTTCTCCCGAACTAATCATGTCTCCAAATCTTGGTGGGTTTTTTAGGAAAATTAAGCCTAATCATGTAGGGCTGGTGTAATTGTGTAAACCGGGGTGGGGGTGGAGATAGTGGTATGCCCTGCTTTGAATTATATGCGCAAACCCTAGTTTCGATCTTTGGAGTTCATAGCATTACTAATTTACGAATTCAATAATGAAAGATTTTTTATAGGTAGCATGCTCATGGTTAGTGCATTTTGAAAATTTAGTGATAGATTTTAGCTGTTAAAACTTAGTAGTTTGTACATTAATCATGCGTCTGATCGAATTATGGGTTTTCGTTGCAGTATTCTGTGGACCACGTCTTTGAGTTGTATCAGAGTCTGCTGGATCTACGCTTGAGTTGTTCTTCATTCTAAAAGGAGAATTTATATATGTTTTGTTGTTAAGGATACCATTAACTGATGTTGTACTTATTATTGCAATGACAAATGGAAATATTATCAATTGCATATAATTTTCTTTTCTTATTTGTTATTGTTTTACTTGTAGAGACGATATCGGTCTTCACAAATGATGGGCGTGTTATAGTGGTGATTTACCTTCAACTCTACCTCAGACAGTTTGTCCAGGAAACCCAATTGCCTAATGGAATTCCCCTTCTCCCCCCTCCCCTCCCCCTCTCTACTTTTTACACTGATGATGTATCACTTTGATTTGTCCTAATAATTTGTTGTATTGAAAGTTTGGTCGAAAATTGATGTTTCCGGCTAAACAGATGGTGATTTGGACGGGCAATGAGGAGGAGCTGAAATAATTGGCCGGTTGGGCTCCCAAATAATTGGGTTTGAGATAAGGATAAAAGTGTAATTTTAAATCATTTCCAAACCCACTAAACATCCGAACCAAGCAGCTAAAATGGAATTTCAATACCCATCACATTCCTTTGATTTATGAAACCCTCTAACTATCAAACCGTTTACTATCATTCCCTTTGAACGAGGCAACCCCTTAGTCTTCCCTCATTTTTATTTTTAGCCGCTTAGGCTTCGGTAAGATTTCCTCGTCCTAGACAATAAAGCTCTCCAAAAACCTTCCCCTAGACCCACCCACCCCAAGGCCCTCCCGCCCCTCCCCCGAATGCATGTTATTCGCGAATGACATAGTCTTAATAGATGAAATGAGGGAGGGAGTTAATGCCAAGTTAGAGACTTGGATGGATGCGCTAGAATCTAAAGGTTTTACAATAAGGCGGGCTAAAACGGAATATATGAAATGTCATTTTAGTAATAGGAGTAATAATGGTAAATGTTAAGATTGGTGAACATAAACTGAACATCTAAAAATTTTAAATATTTACGATGAATTATAGAGGAAAATGGAAGTATTGATAAAGATGTAACACATGGAATTCAAACCGGGTGGAATAAATGGCGTAGTTCCTCATCAATACTTTGTGATCATAGGGTACCATTGCGTTTGAAAGGCAAGTTCTATAGAACGGTTATTCGACTGTTAATGGTTTATGGATCCGAGTGTTGGGCTACTAAATATGAAAATGAGCAAAAAATGTGAGTAGCGGAGATGTGAATGTTAAGATGAATGTTCGGACATACAAGATTATATAGGATTAGAAATGAGTGTATTAAAGAGAAAGTAGGGGTACCTCCAATAGAGGGAGGGAGGGAGAGAGAGAGAGAGAGAGAGAGAGAGAGAGAGAGAGAGAGAGAGAGAGAGAGAGAGAGAGAGAGAGAGAGAGAGAGAGAGAGAGAGAGAGAGAGAGAGAGAGAGAGAGAGAGAGAGAGAGAGAGAGAGAGAGAGAGATGGTTTGGACATGTGCGTAGGAGACTGGTAGAGGCTCCGGTTAGGAGGGTAGAAACTATAGAATCAAGAATTCAAATTAAAAGGGGTAGAGGTACACTTAAGAAAACATAGAAAGAAACTATCAATAATGATTTGAAATATTTAAATTTGTCCAATCATTTATGTACCGACCGAGCAAGATAGCGACATATGATCCATATAGCCGATTCCACCTAATGGGAAAAAGGTTTGTCGTGTTTTTGTTATTGTTGTGTAAAAACTGTTTTTTTTTTTTCATGGTCAATCATTGTTAGAAGATTTTTTTATATAACACACTATAATTTTTATTTTGGAAAAAAATGCAAAGTATTAATAAGTAACAATTGTATAGTGCCAATAAAAATAAGTTTTCCCTTGGTCAAAATTTCCGGGTAAGTAGGAAGTGGGAAGGTCGTGCTCTTGTTAACATTAGTGGTTTCACCTCTTTTTTATTATTAAAATTTACCGTTAAGGGTAATCTTCCAATTACTTTAGTTTTATCCATAAATTTACAATTTTACAAATAACCATTAAATGATGGAGTGACGTGGTTGCGACATGTGGAATTGACTATCTAATTTTTTACCATGTGGAGTAGTATGTCTATTTTCACGCCATGTGTCCGATTAAAAACTCTCTTTTAATATATACTAGTGTTTACCCCACATGTTGTGCGGGATTGTTCAAGATTTATATGAGTTAAATGGTTTAAGTATTATATGACGTTTTAAACGGAGTCATATTAATATTAATGATATAAATTAAAATTTTGAAATTTTTAATGTCAATGTGTTTTACTATTTTAAATGCATTTGAATAATTTTTAATATTCAAATGTAACTTATTGCCACTTTTTTTATTTTGTTGATTTATGACTTCATATCTTTTATTAAAAGTATTTTTTTAATTTTTCATAATGATCTTTCTAAATATTTCTACCCGTGTCATATCATCTAAACTCTTCCTCTAACAAAAATTTTCTACTCAGGTCAGTGTAACTTGAATGCAGTTACAACCAGATGCACATCTTCTACTTTATGTTTTAAAGTTTCCTCGATCCCCACGATTCATCTTAATTGTGGAATAATAAATCTTCGGGTCTTCATATTTTTCTCTCAATTAATTTAGACTTGTTATAGATAATTAGAGATTCTTTTATGATTTCAAATTAATTTTCTATATCAATACGTAGTTATGTAATCGCCGTGAGTTGTTAATGTTGCTTAAGTAGTTAAATAAAGTTTTTCCTTTTATAGTAGCAATAAAAGTTTTGAATGGTGTGCATGCAATTTTTATTTTCAGTGTGACTAGTTTTTGTAATAATACAATAATTTTTTTAATCTTGGTCTACCTTTATTTGTCATTAAAGGAAATATAGGTCAGGATTTTTATTTTAAATTATTTTATTTGTGTGAATGAATAAACAAATAAAGTTACTTTGTAAATAAACTCTCGTATTATTTTCTCTAATGGAAAAAAATAAACTGGATACAATTGGTTATTTATATATTTTAAAGATTTACAAATAAAAAATTACCACTAAATGATGGAGTGATGTAGTTGTGACATGGGGGTGTTCATCGGGTCAATATGGTAGACGGGTTTCGGATTCGGGAATTTTGGTATTCGGGGTACAAATGGTCGCACCCGAACAAAACACTTTCTCCACTCATGCATATCCGAACAACTAATTCGGTTATTTGAGTTTTCGGTCGGGTTTTTGGGTTACCCGAAATAAACTCATACTTTTCCTTATACAGTATAAAGCTACTACAATGGCTTCCCCGAACTAGAGACGACGTAATGTCGGGCAATTTTTTTCTTACTGAAACAAACACAAAAAAAGCCAAGAGCTTTCTAGAACTCTAAGTATCGAGGTAGAAACATTTTAGTTGCTATCATAGTCAAAGAAAATACCTAATCCATTTAAATTTTCAATCATCATCTCCTGGGAACGAATTCAGATTAAGAGCCGACAATTTTTGAGAAAAGAGATTGTGATTTCTAATTAAAATAGCCCAACCCGAAAAATTACTTTTGAGTTGTTGAGATATGGAGTAATTTAATTACTTACGAAAATTGAAATAAAAATGTGGTATAAGAATTTCGGATATTTGCTGAGAGGCTGAGGGGCGCGGGCCACCGCCGTCAGGATTTGGAGAGGTGGGGTAGAGGGCGTCTCCGATGAGCAAGAATTGCTGTTGAACCATGGTTAGCAGAGATGTCGGAGAACAATTTCGGTGGAGATAGAGGATTGGATGTAGAGAGAATAGCATTTGAAAGTTGGGACCTTTGGAACTTTGGATTATTCGAATGATTTGGATTACAATGAATATCACCCGATAGAAGTAGATAAAACTGGATTGGCATTCGGTTTTCTCAAATTCAAACCAATTAACCAAATCAAAACTTAACCGAACATGCCAAGTGTTGTTTTGTCGAGTCAGGCCTCGGTTTACCCGACCCAATGAACGGACCTATTGCGACATGTGGACTTGGAACCAAAATAAAATATTAATATAACACCACTATTTTTCAACAAAATTACCTAACAAATACACAGCTTTCGGGGTTTTGTTCAAGATTGTTTCAAAAGGAGTGAAACCAAACCATATTTATGATATCAGTATCATGTCGGAATTGAACTAAAGTACTTTGCTGGAATGTGATCTTGTATTCATGCTTGTTTGTTCGATAATAACCAACGACACTATCCAAATCAAAGTTTGAAATCACACTTGTGCGACCTTCTTGAATTGGGCTGTCAGCTAAGCGGGTCAACCCGATTATCCACCCGCACTCGAACCGCAAACTGTATGTGCTTGAACGGTTGAACCTGCATTACCCGATGTAACCCGATTAACTGACCCTCATCTTCTTCGATACCCGATTTATGTTTTATTTAATTTATTTTTTAAATAAGTATATAAGTCAAAATGTTAGGGTTTCATTTCTTCCTCTTCCTTTTTTTTTTCGGCCGCAGCTGCGCAGATGCAGCGCCGCCCTCCAGCTCCTTCACCCCGATTTTTTTTCACCGGCGAATCTGTCATTTTTTGACCGATAATTTTGCCGGTCATCGTCCATAACCAATCCAGCTGATCATTAAGCCTGTCCTCCTCCTCCAAATCAAATAAATCCTTTGTCCCTTTTAGTTCACAAAGACACAAATTCACTTCCTCCCTCCGGTTCCGGTTACTCACTCAGTTAACAGATCTGGTCCTTCCTCATTCCGATTTTCACAAGTAGAATACTCCGGTGTCCGGTCACCCCCTCAGTCCGTCAGTCGATATCACCAGAACGGTAAGAATACTTCAAACTCAGATCTATTACTACTCATTCCTCCCATTTATTTTTCTTTCCGATCTACTCCTTTTTTTGCCCATTTTGCATGCTCTAAGTCACTTCTGTCCTTATTTGTATTCTACTTATTTGTTTTTTTCCCCTTAAATAAAATAATTGTGGGTTCTTTGTTTGGTCGGGATTCTCTGATTTTATTTTTTAATCATTGGAGTGTTTCTTGGGTTTTTTTTTGTCTCGTGATTTCTTCTCACTGATTCAGAGTTCTCTATTAGTCTGTTTTGAATTTGGGAGTTAATCGTTCTTGGATTTCTTTCAATGTTTAAGCCGATTTCTAGAATTGGGTTTTCGGTTTCAAGCAACCGCCGCCTTCTGCATTATGCAATTATATGTCTCGTTTTGATGTTTGGGAA